CATTTTCTTTAAAAAAATTTTTTTTAATGTTTATTCATTTTTGAGAGAGAGAGAGAGAGAGACAGACAGAGCAGGGGAGGGGCAAAGAGAGGAGACACAGAATCTGAAGCAGGATCCAGGCTCTGAGCTGTCAGCACAGAGCCCGACATGGGGCTCAAACTCACGAACCATGAGATTATGACCTGAGATGAAGTCGGACGCTCAACTGACGGAGCCACCCAGGCACCCCAGTATGGGACATTTTCATCTCCCAAAAAGATAGATCTGCCTGTTTGCAGCCAATCTCTTCACACTCCCTGTTCATCTCTCATACCTCTGAGCAAATATCACTATGGCATTGTTTTTTCTAGAATTTCATATAAATGAGGTCATACATTTTTGACCTTTTATTTTTGCCTTCTTTCACATAGCATTAGTGATCCATTCATTCTGTTGCATCTATCAGTAATCTCTTCCTTTTTTTAAAAAAAAGTTTATTTATGTATTTATTTTGAGAGAGAGAGAGAAGGAGAGAGAGGGTGAGAGAGAATCCCAACTAGACTCTGCACTGTCAGTGCAGAGCCTGACACAGGGCTCGAATTCACGAACCACAAGATCATGACCAAAATCAAGAGTCAAATACTCAACTGACTGAGCCACTCAGGCACCCCCCCTCTTTGATTTAAATTGTGTGGATTTGTCACAGTTTGTTTATTCATTCAACAGTGGTTGTATATTTGTTTTTTTTCTGGGTTTTTTGCTAGTATGAATAAAAATATTATGGATAAATGTGTACAAGTCTTTGTGTGAACATGAGTTTTCATTTCTCTTGGCCCAACATTTTTTTTTAATTTATTTTTTTAATTTACACCCAAATTAGTTAGCATATAGTGCAACAATGATTTCAAGAGTAGATTCCCTAATGCCCCCTACCCATTTAGCCCATCCCTTCTCCCCACAACCCTTCCAGTAACCCTCTGTTTGTTCTCAATATTTAAGAGTCTCTTATGTTTTGCCCCCCTCCCTGTTTTTATATTATTTTTGCTTCCCTTCCCTTATGTTCATCTATTTTGTGTCTTAAAGCCCTCATATGAGTGAAGTCATATGATATTTGTCTTCTCTGACTAATTTCACTTAGCATAATACCCTCTAGTTCCATCCATGTTGTTGCAAATGGCAAGATTTCATTCATTTTGATTGCTGAATAATACTCCATTGTATATATATACCACATCTTCTTTATCCATTCATCCATCGATGGACATTTGGGCTCTTTCCATACCTTGGCTATTGTTGATAGTGCTGCTATAAACATGGGGGTGCATGTGTCCCTTCGAAACAGCATACCTGTACCCCTTGGATAAATACCTAGTAGTGAAATTGATGGGTCATAGGGTAGTTCTATTTTTAAGTTTTTGAGGAACCTTCGTACTGTTTTCCAGAGTGGCTGCACCAGCTTGCATTCCCACCAGCAGTGCAAGAGATCCTCTTTCTCTGCATCCTCGCCAATATCTGTTGTTGCCTGAGTTGTTAATGTTAGCCATTCTGACAGGTGTAAGGTGGTATCTCATTGTGGTTTTGATTTGTATTTCCCTGATGATGAATGACATTGAGAATTTTTTCATGTGTTGGTTGGCCATCTGGATGTCTTCTTTGGAGAAGCATCTACTCATGTCTTTTGACTCTTGGGCCAACTTTTAAGAGTGAAATTTCTGGGTAATGCTAACTGTATGATAAGTGTATGTATAACTTTATAAGAAACTGCCAAACTGTGTTCCAAAGAAGTTGTACCACTTACATTCCAGGAGAGAGAGTTCCAGCTGTTCATATCCTCATCAACACATGGAATTTTCAGTCTTTTTAATCCTAGCCATTCTAATGGTATCCTATTGTATTTATTTACATTCACATAATAAATAATGATGTTCTACATCTTTTCATGTACTTGGTTGCCATCCACATATCAAAATAGTTATGAAGCTAAAAATAGAAACTCAATTTTTCAGTTCTCCATATTTTAATTTTATATTCTGTGCATCAATAACCTATTTACTTTAAATTTGGCTTTCACATTTCCTGACACATGGTTTCTCTTTTATAGGTTTGCAAGTATCCTGAACTACAGTCCTATGTGCATCTTACTATGTTGGCTTTTAATAACACTTTCTTTAATTGGCCCACTTTCTCCTTCATTGGTATTCCTGGTCTGGAGGCTGCACATATATGGATCTCTATCCCCTTCTGTGTCCTGTACTTCATAGCCCTTGTGGGTAATGCTGTTCTTCTTATCCTAGTTAGAGCAGAGAAGAACCTTCATGAACCTCAGTTCTATTTTTTGGCTATGCTAGCCCTTACTGATCTAGGCCTTTCATTGTCAACAATGCCTAGTGTCTTGGCTATCTTCTGGTTTGATGTCCGCGACATTGGCCTTAATGCCTGCCTAACCCAGATGTTCTTCATCCACACCCTCTCCTCAGTAGAATCAGGTGTCCTGGTGGCCATGGCTTTTGACCGTTTGGTAGCTATCTGTGCGCCATTAAACTATACCAAGATCCTTACCCACTACATGGTTGCATGCCTTAGTGGAGCTGCCCTCATACGAGGTGCCACTCTCCTGGCTCCTCTGCCTTTTTTCCTTAGGACTTTTCCTTTCTGTGGGGCCAATATCCTCTCACACTCCTATTGCTACTACCCAGATATGCTGAACTTAGCCTGTGGGGACATTACCTTCAGCAGTGCCTATGGATTGGTTTTTGTTCTCTGCACGTTTGCAGTGGATGTTGTCTTCATCTTAGCTTCATACATGAAGATCTTGGACACTATTATGAAGCTGGAGACTCAAGACAGAAACTGGAGGTCACTGCACACCTGTGCCTGTCACCTATGCACGGTGCTTGTGTTCTACCTGCCCCTAATCAGCTTGGCAGTGCTGCATCGTTATACCGAGGACACTTCCCCAATTCTGTATACCACCATGAGTAATGCCTACCTCCTCATGACACCACTGCTCAACCCTCTCGTCTATAGTCTCAAATCCCGGCAGATCCAGGCTGCCCTGCGCAAGCGATTTTGGGTGCAACGTGTCATTGCTGGGGAATGATATTTTCTCTATATTAGAAGAGATAACCAATTTAAAAACTGCTATTCAGGATCTACTGTGTGCCAAGTAGTATGTTAGGCACCATGAATTCAAAACAATAAAATACTTAGGTTTTCTCAAGAAATAATTAATCTAACTAATGAGGGAAGGAGAGGCAGAACGCTTAGATAAAAGATCATAACTGTGATCATGAATGATGACTTTGGTAGTGGTAAGGAGAAATGACAACAGGAAGCCAAGCTCAATGTGTTTGGTGTGTGAGTTGGAGGAAAATCACATCGCTCCAGGTGCTAAACTGAGGAGTCCAACTCTGGATTGTAAAAGATCAATGAGGGATTAATTCTATAGAGAAAACAAAATGTCTCCTAATTCTTGACTGGCAATGTTGTTTAAGCTGAAGCACGAAAATTCAAAATTGATGATAAATTTATGACGGTATGTTTATTATTTCTGACTACTTCTTGTGGTTGGAGACTAGCTAATGTCTGAACCTTCTGACTTTTAACAAAAAGTAAAGAAGCTTTCTGAAAAGAATAATATATAAGGATCTGAGAAATAGTTATTCTTACTCATTTTGCTACTTCATTCAGAATTCATGCCTTATTTGGATATTGTTTTGTTTCACATTTCATACTGAGGGTAGATAGGGTTATATTCTGCCTGTTAAAGCAAGGCTACATCTTTTTTTTTTTTTTTTTCTCCTAACTTTCCAAGAGGAAAAACAAATTCGTTTATTCTCTTCTAGGGTCAGCTCTTGAAGTTAGAGTAAGCAAAGGAAGAATTGTCCTGCTAGGATCAGCATAGGAAGCAAGTAAAGAGAGAGACTTAATTGTCCATGGGAATGAACAAATATGCAGTTATCATTAGCAAGAATTTCAAACAACTTTAAGAGAGCTTTGAATGAATTTCTTTTTTTTTTTTTAATTTTTTTTTCCTACGTTTATTTATTTTTAGGACAGAGAGAGACAGAGCATGAACGGGGGAGGGGCAGAGAGAGAGGGAGACACAGAATCAGAAACAGGCTCCAGGCTCTGAGCCATCAGCCCAGGGCCTGACGCGGGGCTCGAACTCACGGACCGCGAGATCGTGACCTGGCTGAAGTCGGACGCTTAACCGACTGCGCCACCCAGGCGCCCCTCTTTGAATGAATTTCTAAAGGATAGCTCAAGCAATCAACTGGAAAATATTTTAATGTCTGACATATTCGGTAGACACCAGAATCATATAAAAGACATAGATTTAATATTCGTATAGCTTACATTCTACCCATGGAAATCAGGAAATAGCAGCAAAACCATGTTACATAATGTAATTAGTAAGGCTGAGACTTGCTTTGAATTGTTAATATGAATTCAGAGGAAAGTAAGCTAGTGAGGACTGGGGTTGCCAAGAACTTCGGCCTGCAAGACAGAGAAGATCAAGAGAAGTATTATGGAAGCTGGAAATCTATCTCAATTCCAAAAGCATTCAGTAAGCTCTATCTGTTAGGTATTAACAAGATAAAGGGAGTTATTTTTTTTTAAGTATGGTCTTTACCTTTATGGAGAGATTATTTGAGAAGTATAATTAAGACGCTGAAAAAATTAAATAAAATTCTAATTCTTAAACTGTTTCTTCATCTTTTAAGGCCTGATTTAATCATTTTCTTTATTGTGAGTCTGGCCAAAAGCCTCCTAACTCTGACTTCCCTGAGCATGAGTAGAGGGAACTGGGGATCATTTTTCAGCAACTGTTTCATTGTCTTAAAACACTGCACAATTTTCCTTTGAGGAAATCCTTACTTGTCTGTAGAGTTTGAATGAGACCAATAAAATTCTACCATATCCCTCCTCTGATCTTTCAGCTATAGATATTAAAAACTGAGGAAAGAAAATCTCCTTCATGTTTTATGCTACAGTTAGCGTGAAAGAGTCTCCTTTCTGGAAGGAGATCACATCACATGTGGTCATCATGTTCCATAGCTTTGTGGAAGCCATACCTGTCTACATTAGGAGAGCATGAGTATGGAGGAGAAAAGAAGCAGATATAAGAGGATGCCCCAGAGAGGAAAAGTGACATGACAGTGTTGAGTCCTTAAGCTTGAGTCCCTGAGATCCTTCCTTTGAATCTGTGACCTTTCCTGATAATTTTGTTTTACGTTTCTTCACTTATAAATTAAATGATGAGGTAACTTAATGGCATATTATGTCTGTTATGAAGTGGATTGGATACTTTATTTGATTCTGTCTTAAAGTATGCCAATGTATTCCTGTCTTGTCTCACTTACTAAGTGGTACTTCCCTAAATGATGGCATTTTTGTCTGATTCATCTGTCCCATACAGTGTGGTATATAGTGAACCCCAGAATGGTTGTGTGAAGATGTAAAATAAGGAGTCACAAAGGACAAAAGGTGAAAATAAAAGAATTAAATATTATTATTGAATCAATAAATTAATGAACCATGAATTCATGTCCACATAACTTGATTAAAAAAGGATGAAGTAATAGGGCACCTGGGTGGCTCAGTTGGTTAAGTGTCTGAATTGATTTTGGCTCAGGTCATGATCTCAAGGTTCATGAGATAGAGTCTCACATTGGGCTCTGTGCTGACAGCATGGAGCCTGCTTGGGATTCTCTCTTTCCCTCTCTCTTGGCCCCTCCCCCTGCTCTCTCTCTCTCTCTCTCTCTCTCTCTCTCAAAGTAAATAAATAAACATGAAAAAATTTTACATGGATGAAGTAATAATGTCTAGCTCTGCTGTATTATAGTTAATTTAGAGACATCACTAGTATATATAAAGAATTTGATGCCTGTCTCTGATCTGCAATGATAATATTGGGCATATAAATATGATATACACAAATATGAAATATATAAACCTGGTCTGAATCATTTTACATATTTGCAAACAAACATATTTATAAAATATATATAAAAAGAGAACTCTAAATATGTCTTTGAACAAACTGTATTATCCTCTGGTCACCTTTGATATCACCATCTGAATGACAGAAGCCTTTATTCATTTGTATTTATCTTTAAATCCTGGCTTGGCCTTTGTCCTCTACCATATTTTGGTTTATAATAAAATGATTCATATTCACTGAACATTTGCAACATACTTTTCATTGTTACAGACATATTACATAACTTATCACATTTCTTCTTACAGTGTCCTTACAGAGTAGATACCATTATTAACTCATTTTCACTGATAGAGACACTGAAGCACAGAAATCAGGGTCATTATGTTCCCTGGATACATAACAGATAAGTTTCAGAGTCCTGATTTTAGCTTAAGCAGTATATATTTATATCTTCAACTAAATATGAAATCTAAATTAATACAACCTGAGAAAATCAAGGATACATTACATAAATGGCAGATTTTAGGTACACTGCTTTGTTATATTTTCATTTTAATCTCTCACTGAATTTTCATGTTATATGAGGCTTAGATTGAGATGGTTTCAGCAAAGGAATCATAAAACATAAACATACTTAAATAAAAATTATGAAAATGAAAATAAGCCTTCTTTTCTCTCATTTGGAATATTCCCCTCTATAATATCTCAAACTCCCAAAAGATAGTATATGTCTGTATAACAATGTAAATATTTTATTTTAAATAATATTTCAGCCATATAGCTATACATGTGGGAGTCTCAGATAGAAGTATCTGTAGGACTCTTTAGATTGAAATGGGCTCATAGGCGAGTGCTGTAAACACCAGGAATGAGAAATATAAGTGAAGGTGAAAGGGGTTTTGGGCATCTTTCTTGATCAAATATTTAAAACCAGAAAGGAATACTATATTTCTAGAAAAATTACAATAAAACCATACAGAGATGTACTAAAGGAAGTACCTCAGCACACAGGAAAATAATGTCTGTTGATTCTTCTTTTTTCAATATCCCTGGTAACTTTCAGTCAGTCCCTCAAAGGGATCCTACTCTGTTCCATCAACCTAGTTAAGTGCAAACAGTCTACATTTTGGACTTCTAATTTGTTTTCTTTTCACACTAGAAACAAAAGAGTTGAGGACAGGTGTGAGGAAAAGGATAATGTTGGACATAGTGATGTGGGGTAAAGGGGAGTTGTATCTGCCTGTCCTGTGGATCAGAACTAAGCCAATAAGTGGGTCCTAGACAATGAGGACCATGACAATGTGGTAGACATGTGTGTTGAGTTCCTTAAGTCATCCTTCCCCAGAAGCAATGCTAAGAACTGTCTTCAAGATCAAAGCATAAGACAGAAACAATAAAGACAGAGTCAACACCAAAGGTGCAGAGAACCAATGCCAACCCATGGGTGATGTTCACATGAATGGACACACAAGCTAGCTTCATCACTTCAGGGTGGAAGCAGAATGAGTGGGATAGGATGATGTTCTTACAGAAGGGAAGTCATTTGAGCTGGATGAGTAAGAAGGCCATCAGTGCCACTCCTCAAGCCATAGCAGCCAATCCCACCTGAGTAATGCGGGAATGGGTCAGGACCACAGTGTAGCACAGCGGGTTGCGTATGGCAACAAAGCAATCAAAAGCCATGGCTTACAGGAGGGCTGACTCCACAGAAGAGAAGTGTGGATGAAGAACGTCGGAGCTAGGCAGCCATGGAACTCAATCCTGTGATTAAGGAGAAACATATTCGGTACAGTAGGCAGTGTAGATGCTGACATGCCTGTGTCGGTGGCTGCCAACATGGATAAGAATACATACTGAGGCTCATGAAGGCTGGGATTCTTGTGTATTATGGTAACTATGCGGTTCTCCAGGATGGCAATTATATACGTGATGCTCAGTTGGATGGAGACTCAGATATGAGTCTTCCTGAAATAAAGAAGAAGGGTGGCTGGTAGTAGGTGCCATTGAACATAAGCATGATGCTAAACCTAAAAAAGAGAACACGTGTAGGAAAATCAAGTGGTAAATTAATTCAAGTTCATTCAGTGGTTGAAGAGAGAGTCTAGAAGCAGAAACAAACTAAATATCTGTTGCATGCCGAGCAAACTGAATAGGGTAGAATGTAGTTTAATTCAAAAAGCCTGTATGAGTAATTTTTAGGTGATTTGTAACTGCTATCCTGTGGGCAATTTTGTGGATGCAATGGTAGCCTTCAAAAACACTACCAGATAAACTAAGGAAGTTTTGAACAGAAACATTCACAGAACAAAGTAATATTCACAAATCACATGATTAACTTAGTTAATTTAAAACACACAGTGAGAAGCAGGAGGACAGAGATGGGGTTGTTTTAATACACATAGAATTGCATCCAAGTAGGAAGGAAGGCCCACAGTATCTGAATGCTAGATTATGAAATATTTCTCTGTTCTGTCTCTCTGCTGATCATGTTAGAAAGATCACCAGAGTTGAGGTTTGAGCAAAGGGAATCCTACAGATGAAAGGTACCTGGGGTCAACTCACACTTTATCAGGCACACAGCATCATGCATGCATGGCCACAGCTGTAGCTCATCAATAAGACTGGGGAATATCTATGAATTTTACCTGCATTTCTTATGCTGAGAGCATGTGGGACCAGGACAAAACCACAACGGATGTCATTAATAGTTGACTGATTTAGGTATCACACAGCCGCCATTCTAGACATGGCATTATCATGCCTTATGACTTTTTTTCTATTCTTCTTATCTATAAATAAAATTTTTGTTTATCATAGATTCCATATGTTTTATCTTTAACATGTTGTTTAATAGCTCCTGTAACTTACCTACTATCCATATTTACCATAATTGGTGAATGATGCCTATATCTTAGTCATATGATATCTTCTAAGCTACTTATAAATTTACTTCCTATCTATGTTTAATGTATCTCATGAGTTTAATCAATACTCCATTTATCATCTTGTTTTTTGGACTCAAGTTAAATATTCTTAAGTAA